CCTCTGGCTCCAAGCAGACTCTGTCCATGTGTCTAAAGGGACACAACCAAACACAGCATTTTGTGATCTGAATTACGTGGCTTCAGAATAAATTCTAAAGTGAAAGAACAAAATATAATATCTATATATATATATATATATATCTGCTCAAGAGCAGCACAATTGAACTTTACCTTGTGGGTCCTCATAAAGCACAGATGATGTAGGATCAACAAAACACAGTCATTTCATGTAAATTACATTTCTGTATAAATAGTCCTTGTGAATATGGACCAGAACCACAAAGGCGATTTTTTTCTTCTTTTTTTTTTTTTAACTACAGGTCTTAAAGGCACACCTTCATACAAACCTAAATCTACATGAAAGCTCTTAATGTCCATGTCCCTAAATAAATCCAATGTCTCATTCTCTCAAACAAGTATATTTGTCACTGCTGCTGTTGCAAATACTATTAACTAGTGCTGGACCTGAATAGCTCAATTGTCGACTATTCGTTGGCTGTGCTGGAATCAGGATATCAATTTGGATCTCTGAATATCCACTTTAAATATAGATGTTGCTACAAAGAAGCTACAAGTTCCAAAACTTGCAGCACTGACAATTTATACAATTACAACGGTTTCAAAGTAGCTCTCAAGATGAATTTTGTTAATTCTGTAGCCAACCAAATGTAAAACATTGTCACTCTCTACTGTTATCGAGAAACGACAGAAAACAGTTTTTGCAGAACATTGTGATATAATATATATATCACAATATATATATATATAAGTGAAGCTGACCTTTGACCTCTCCGATGTAAAATGTCATCACATCATAATTTTCTCCTGCTATTCATTTGTCTTAAACATCACAAATACCTTATAAATTTGTCAGTTATGGCCAAAAATATTTTGTTTCATGAGGCAGGACATGTTTTGCACTTGTATTTGCTATTACTGGCAGGCTGACCATATTAACCTCAATTGTGGTTAGGGTTATGGTGAGGTGATAGTCACTTTGGCCAGAACACATTTCGCACCACGTCCAACACGTGTGGAACTGTGAGGGCCCGTTCAACGCTGCTTGCAGCTTTCATTTAAAATTTTTTTTTTTTTGTAGTTATGACCAAAAAAATTGTTTCATGAGGTTACAGTGACCTTTGATCAACAAATTGTACTCAGCTCATACCTGAGGTAAAATGGACATTTGTGCAAAATGCAATGAAACTGCCAGTGTAAATTGCAAGTCATTTTAGCCTTATTGTCTTTACTTCATGGTCTTCATGGCTTTATCGCTCATACTGATGCACACCTCCATCTCCACGCTAACCTAAATTGCAACTCTCAGTTAAGTCCCCCTCACGCACCCTGAACATCGTTGCCCCCCAGGGCTGTGTGCTGAGCCCTCTGCTGGACTCACTGTACACTAATGACTGTCTGTCCACATCAGACTCTAACACCATCATTAAATTTGCTGATGACACAGCAGTAGCGGGTCTGATCTCCAACAACAACAAGGAGGACTATTTGATGGAGATCACCCACCTGGAGGACTGCTGCGGAGACAACAGCCTCCTCCTAAATGTCAGCAAGACTGAAGAGCTGATTATGGACAACAGAAAGAAGCAGCAGAGGGTATACCACCTTCTCAGGATCAGCGGGGCAGAGGTGGAGAGGCCTTGACTAGAAACTGGAAAACTATAAGCCTCAATGTTTTGAAGAGACATATTGGAAAACTGTAGAAACTAACTACCAACCTCATGCAAATACAGTCATGTAAAAATATTTTCTATTGCTTACAATATGAAGAACCATGACAAGAATGTGTCATTTTCCATTATTCTAATGTTTTAGTTCTGTGTAAAAAATGGTAAAATTGAGGGCAGAAAGAAAATATACACTTTCAGCCACAAAGTCTTGCATCGGCCATGGTTTTTACTCTAACACACCACTATTTCTGTCAGCAGTCTTTATCTGAGTGGTCTATCATGAAAGATGCACTGCATGTGTGACTATAGACGTAGCAGGATCTGGCACTTCATTCTTTGTCAAGCTGAGAGTGACATCACAGTCGCTGCTTCCTTGATTCTCATCACACAGTGAGATAACACGAGGAAGAAGAGCATAAACCAGCTTCTGGTGAAAATTCAGTCAGTCTCAAATAGCAAGAGATACATCACACCACTGTGACTGAGGTAAGTGACACATTTTTGGAACTAATTGATTTTGAAATCATGTGTCAGACATTAGTGTAGAAAAACACTGCACTTTTAATGACATCATTGTAGAAATTCAGATTTTTATATTATATTGTGATACACACACACACACATATCACTTTTACTACGACTAAAACTCAGATTTTGCTATTTACATTGAATGAGCTTAATTATATGTTCAAGAAACTGTATATTTACTGGTTTTTAGCATAAAAACAAAATGTGATTTTATCTAAATGTTCACATATTTATGCGTTACAGAAACAATGACTGTCATCTATACGATCATCGCAGTTCTGGCGGCAAAAGCTCTGGTGAAAGGTATATACAAGTGTATCAGTATGGTGTACTGTGGATTCACTGACGAAATATTTATTCAATGTTTTTGTTTCTTATTATATTATCTTTTTTTTTTTTTTTTTCCAATCTGTGTTCAGATTAACATTTAGATATTTTGTTTCTTCTAGGGTTAACTGAATGCAATTTTTCACATTCTAATGGAACTCGTCAGTGTTTTGGAGCACTAGGACAGCCACTGTTTTTTCATCTGTCAGATAAAACAAATACTGAAATTAGACTGACAAAGGATGGCAAATACATGATTCTAAAAAGGGACACAACTGGGAAAGTGACACTAGATGACAAATTTGTAAATCAGTCTGAACTCACCCATAATGGAAAATTCAAACTACTTAACGCCATGAAGACACACTCTGGAGATTACGAGCTTGAAGAATACAGTTCTGATGGCAAGTTAATAAAAGAAGTCAACGTACACCTAGAAAAACAAGGTAGGTGTTTTTCTCGCTTGTTTTATTTGCTAAACAATGGCTGTGTTTCTATTCCTACTAATTCCAATCGTTTATCAACTCTCTGATGTAGAACATCAGTCAGAAGGGAGCTGAGCTCATGACTTTGGTCAATATTTTTGCATTCTATGCATATTTAATAATATCTGGATTTAATTAATTCTTCAAATAATGCACCTTAACACGTATGTCTTTTTACTTCTATGCAGAAAAATGTTAGTTTTTAAAAAAAAAAAAAATCACTACCCCATTAAGGTATGACATGGGTCAAAAATAACATTTACATTTTGCATTTTGCCTTTATTAGTGAGCATTAGCAGAGACCAAGGTAATATGTGGAGAATGAGAGCATGGGAAAAACCATAGACTGTATAATACTGTATTATACAGTCTGTGGGAAAAACAAGCTGTTCCACAACAACAATGCTATATCACTTCATCCTATAGAGGGTTGCAGGGGAGCTGGAGGATATCCCAGGAGACACGGGGCAAGAGATGGGTTACACACAGGACAGGTCACCGTCACTATGCAGGAATATCACAAAGACAGATTAGCATCTATGCTCACGTCTACGACCAGTTTAGAATTACCAGCTAACACAGACACGAGGAGAACATGAAAACTCCACACAGAAAAGCTCCAGTCGATCAGCAGGTTCTAACCAGAACCTACATGCAGTGAGGGGCTAGCTAACCACTGCACCATCGTGATGCCATGTTTGTGATTATGTAACACAATGTGCTGCAGACCTCTGTCCTCAAACTCACAGCTTCACCTATCTGCAAACCTGCTTTATCTAAACTCTGTGACACATTAAGGGTGACATCAGAATATTCAAGTCTTACACAATTTACTGGACACATTTATTCATTCAATTGTTTTTCCTCATTTGTACAATTTCTACATTGAACATTACTGAAGACAACAACAATACAAAATGCCATATGGATGTGTGTAGGGAGCAAAAAGGTCTATCACCCTCACTGACATGCTGGCATCAGCCATGCCAATGTCTCAGTCTCATCTGTCTTTTATGATCTGTGGCTTCATGTCTTTTGAAAAAGGCTGCATTTTAACATGGCTTTTTATAGTCTGTGGTCAAATGATAAAAACAAGATAGCTTTTCCTTTTAGTCCTATTTGTACGCTGCAATTACATCTTTGTCACCAATATGTACAGCACACAGCTGTAAAATACACATTGTGAGATCGACTACTCTAGGCTTGTCTTTCTGATTCCAAAAAAAGCTGAATGGAACTAGCTCTTTGACTAACTCTGTTTAGGTCCTTAATTGTTTTAATCTTTAAATGTATGCATGCAGTTCATATATGGCTATGTGTCTTTCAGGTCCAGTGTCAAAGCCAGTTGTGTCTCAGACATGTTTGTCAGAAAAACAGATGCAGGTCAGCTGTTCCACCGAGGGAGATAACGTGGAGTTCCTTATGACTTTGGATGGTTATGTATTGATCCAAACCAGTGACTACAACCAGTCCCTGAGCAGCTGGACAGCTGAAAAACTCTGTGTTGACATCAAATTATATGGGCAGCTGACTGGAAATGTGACGTGTCGAGTTTGGAACAAAGTCAGCAGAGATGAAACAGTTCATCCCCTCTCAGCCTGTGGAGGTGCAGCAGGTAAACGACCGATGATTCTATTTGAAACTACATATATATTTTCAGTCACAGAACTTAAATATGGATGAAAGAGAAAGCAAGAAATACTTAATAGGCATCCAGGTACAGTGTCGTTGAAATGTTCACATTTAATATTCTCTGATATTTTCTTTTTGTAGGTTTTGTTCCAACTCTTCCAGTTGTGACTGCTGCTGTAATTGCAAGTGCTGCCACGGCATTCTCTTTTTTGGCTTTGAGTCTTGTTATAGTTTTTTGGAAAAAAAGACGACAAATCCCCACAAGCCCTACAAGTGTTGATGAAGGTAAGCAGATGAAAAATTGCCTAAAAAAAAAAGATTAAAAAAACATAGATTTTTTCTTGCACATCACTCCTAATGACACGTCTGTTTTCATTTTTTTCAGATAACCGTGAATCTGAAGTCATCTACACAGACGTTAAAGTGAAAAAAAAACCAAGACAAACCCGATCTGAGGAACATCAGAATGCAACATGATTTTTTCTCCACAGCTTTACTGGCATGCATCACTTGTTTAACCCTTAATGGTAACCTCATATTATAATCATGGATCACTGACTTATAAACACAGTGGGAAAAAAAAAATTAAAAAAAGTGAACCAAGTCTTTGGTATGTGATTAGGATACTTGTTTTACTGTTGAAATATTTACGCATATGCTTTTCAAAAATAACCATGCTTTAATGTGAATGTTTTCAAATCAACTATCTTGTGATAGAAAGCACTGTAAAGAACTGCTACAACATTTATTATTTTTAAAGTTTTGACAAACTGCCTCTCTTTAACTGTTGTAATGTTGTTGTACACTGTATCATTTATTTCTCACCCTCTTTTTTTCTTCTCCTCTTACTTTTACTATTTTTATCATTTCAAAAGCCTCCTGTGGACAAGTGTTGGGAATTAGCACATGTGCTAAAACACTCAAACAATGCATCTGGTTTGTCCAATGTAACTGTGATGTCCACATCAAATAAACAATCAAAAGTCAATAAAATTAAATAAACATATCGATTAAGTATAGTAATTCATTTTTTCATAGAAAGTATCAAGTATTACCAAGGTCAAACAGATTGATTACTCTGCTCTAAAGGGTTTCCATACAACTAATAGAACCAGCAAAGTGTCCTAAACTGAACTTTGGCAGAGCTAAGGGAAGGATGCAGCTTCACTGTTTCTTAAAACTTGTGACAGGTGGAATTGTTTTGGTGGAGAACTTGAATGGGGGAGGCGAGCACTGTAATTAAAATGGATCATCTATCAACAAAGCTTCCTCACTGCAACATCCAAATCCTCAACAAAACTTGTAATTTTGTTGTGTGGTATGTTGGCTGTTGTTTCCTGTAGTGAAGTGGATTTTGAACACGATAATACACATAACAAAAGTGGAGGAGAAAGCCAACTAAAATGAGCAACCAATCACAGGCTTAAATCCAATGAATCACACTATGCAGTCACTTAAAGTGCTTGTGATCATTTTTGTCCAAAAGATAAGAGCCAAAACGGCTGACTTGTAAGAATTGATCAGTTTTTCATTTTTGTATTGTAGTATGGCTGTTTTCTGATCGTCAAAGTCACTGAAATCCGAAGCACATCCCAGTCATTGATATCAAAAAGACTTATGCTTTGCACCAGAAGGGAAACCTACACTGAGGGCTGAAAAGCACAAAGTCGTACAACTTCCTCTGACAACAACAAAGGGAGACATGATGATCACTGTGATGAATTATCCGTCTTACACATATTCAATCACTTGCAAGAGTGTCACCAACTTATAGACAGTTTTCAGTGACTGCTTTGAACTTCGCAGATGAGTGAAAGACTTTTAATCCATCACCATTTTCAAACATTAAGCAAATATTTTCCTATTCACTTTCTAATTAAACGTACTTTCTTCCCCTTCAAAATAAACATACTGATAGAATTCATTTGTGTTTCCTGAAGAGGTTTTTACCATCTGAGAACACAAAGTGGAAAAAAAAACTGCTTTACATTGTACCCTGGTTTGGAAGTAGCAGTTAGTGATGTGCAACAATAAAAAATGTCGCTCTTAGGTGACATCTGGAGGTTGTTTCCAGATACTACCACAAAACTTTACACACAAGCTACCAGCCACGCAGGGAGCATTTCTGACCACATGATGGAGCCACAAGTTCTCACATGTACTGTAGCTGTATAAAGGACAGATGCTTAAAGAAAAGAAATCTTTCAATTTGTAATAACTTCTTAATGTTAGTGTAGTTGTCCACTTTAAATACCACATTTGTATACAGCACTGTCTTCTGCTTGACTGCTCACAAGTACACTTTTATACTACACAGGGTGGGAGACAAACTGTACTTCTAAATGCATATATGTGTGGCCTGAACAACTTTGTTTTTTAAAGTGTAACATTCTCCTCACAGATATTTCAGTCAGCTTTAAGGTACTACAACCATTTTCTCTCTAAAAATATACACACAAGTCGCTTAATGCGGCTGAAGTGGACACAGAATAGAAAAAGCTGTGAGTTTAGCAGAGACACATTAGGTTTCATGTCTGAGGTGAGACGTTCTTAAAAAAAATTTAAGGATGTGCTTAGTAACTTAAATAAAGTCTATTTTGAACTGTTACAAAATGCAAGTATAACAGTAATCATCACTGACCATAGGATGGAGCCAAAAGCCAACACAGGCAGTCAGAAAATCACAAATACCTTGTGAATTTTTCAGTTATGGCTAAAAAAAAATGTTCATGAGCTCACAGTGACCTTTGACCACTAACTTCGAATGAGTTCATCTTGAGGATAAAAAGGATGTTTGGGTCAAATCTGAAGAAATTCCTTCAAAGGCACTTGTGAGATATTGCACCCAAAGAAGGAGATGGTGGACTGATGACCCGAAAACAAAAGGCCTCTGCCCATGAGTGCTGCCATTCCTAAATCGTAGCTGCTGCTCCTTNTCACACTATGCAGTTACTTAAAGTGCTTGTGATCATTTTTGTCCAAAAGATAAGAGCCAAAGCAGCTGACTTGTAAGAATTGATCAGTTTTTTATTTTTGTATTGTAGCATGGCTGTTTTCTGATCGTCAAAGTCACTGAAATCAGAAACATATCGCCATCATTGATATCAAAAAGACTTATGCTTTGCACCAGAAGGGAAACCTACACTGAGGGCTGAAAAGCACAAAGTCATACAACTTCCTCTGACAACAACAAAGGGAGACATGATGATCACTGTGATGAATTATCCGTCTTACACATATTCAATCACTTGCAAGAGTGTCACCAACTTATAGACAGCTTTCAGTGACTGCTTTGAACTTCGCAGATTAGTGAAAGACTTTTAATCCATCACCATTTTCAAACCTTAAACATAGATTTTCCTATTCACTTTCTAATTAAACATACTTTCTTCAACTTCAAAATAAACATACTGATAGAATTCATTTGTGTTTCCTGAAGACATTTTTACCATCTGAGAAGACAAAGTGGAAAATAATCTGCTTTACATTGTACCCCGGTTTGGAAGTAGCAGTTGGTGATGTGCAACAATAAAAAATGTCGCACTTAGGTGACATCTGGAGGTTGTTTCCAGATACTACCACAAAACTTTACACACAAGCTACCAGCCACGCAGGGAGCATTTCTGACCACATGATGGGGCCACAAGTTCTCACATGTGCTGTAGCTGTATAAAGGACAGATGCTTAAAGAAAAGAAATCTTTCAATTTGTATTAACTTCTTAATGTAAGTGGAGTTGTCCACTTTAAATACCATATTCGTATACAGCACTGTCCTTTGCAACAATAACAGTCTTCGTAAACTGCTGACAAAGCTATTTTCTACCACACAAGTAATAGGGGCTTGACTGCTCATAAGTACGCTTTCATACTACACAGGGTGGGAGACAAACTGTACCTCTACATGCATATATGTGTGGTCTGAATAACTTTGTCTTTTAAAGTGTAACATTCTCCTCACAGATATTTCAGTCTGCATTAAGGTACTACAACCATTTTCTCTCTAAAAATATACACACAAGTCGTTTAATGCAGCTGAAGGGGAAACACAGAATAGAAAAAGCTGTGGGTTTAGCAGAGACACATTAGGTTTCATGTCTGAGGTGATACTTTCTTAAAAATTTCAAGGATGTGCTTAGTAACTTAAATAAAGTCTGTTTTGAACTGTGATAAAATGCAAGTATAGCAGTAATCATCACTGATCATCACCACAGGATGGAGCCAAAAGCCAACACAGGCAGTCAGATAGTAAAATGAGAACATAATCATTATGAGAATAACTTCAGTAACTGCTTCTTCATTGTACTGTTGCTGTTGATTCAATCTGTATTTGATGCAGAGCACTGTCAAATCCTGGTAGAACCTCTTAACTACACTGGTTGCATTAAATTACAGACCATATGATCTGGGATATAGTGTGACAAATGTACCGTACAGCAATTTAGCCTTAGGACTTTAAAGACTGTTTCACAATACATCTTCATCCAATTTGCACTTTGTCAAAGAAAACACACGTACTAGTGATAAAATTAAATCGTGCTAAAATTAATGCTGATCAAATTATTATTTAGCCTTTTTCCTATCTTTACTGGCTCAACGGCATGGTCCTGAATATATTTGGATGAATTATTTGTTTGCTAAACATTGGATTTTCAGACTTAGCATCAACTGCTAACTTTGATTTTGTAAAATTAAAATAATCCGCTGCATCAATTTTGTGCATCACTTCTGTGTCAAGTTTCCTTTGTCATGTCAGGTAATGGCAGTTCATCACATTGGTTATTCATAATGTAAATAAATAACTCACCACATTTATACTGTGAGGCAATCCCATGTTTGAGGAGCTTCATCGAGATGCACGTCTGTCACTCTTTGGGCTCAAGGAGTAACTGGTGAAGAGCAAAGGAAATGACGAGGGGGAGAGGACAAGGAAGGTTTAAAAGAGTTTAATGGTTGAGATCTGTTAATCCTTTACACAGTTCTTTGGAACAACTTCTCACTGTCACATCATTAATAACTCCTTACAACACATTGTAGTACAAACTACATGATTCTACTTCTGGAGCTGCCTCCGTTTGTCTATGTTGAGTCTGCAGTCTCTTTCAGTTCAGTATTCCTTTGTTTTCCTTTTTCCAAATCTGCTTTTTACATTTTTCTACATTTGCTACAAAAAAGTGTTTTCCATAATGCATATGTCATCATCCATCTGTACTTTTAGGATCCAAAGCTTTACCTTCTAAGTGTCTTTTGGTCAAATAGTGTTTTGCTTATGTTTTTGAAATCTTGTAAATGTATTTAAATCATTGTGTGAAATAAAACATATAAAACAGCATGAGGTGAAAGTCTTGGCTAATTCTCTTTAATTCACACCTCCTTTGTTATGACTGTGTGTTTCCAAAAGGAGATTCCCATACATGCGTCAATCTTCAGCCTGCCATCTTTCCATACGCACCATATAAGAATATACCAGCATTCATCAACAGCCACAATATCTGAAACTGACTTTATACTTAGGTCATGTGGAATAACGTTTAAGACTTTCCCAACTTTCTCTCACTGCCACCCTCCCTCTTT